TAAAAAAAACAACAAAAACTGTATTTTCCTTCGGACAAATAACCTGGATCTATTCAAAGGCTATGTGGTTTTTCTTCCTAATATAATTGTAATTGAACGTCATTTCAATTTTTATGATTGAGGATTTATCAAACCATCAAAATACTACGAAAAAGTTTTTTTTAGAACTATTTAATGACCGTAACGTAAAAAGTAGGTTTGTCGTAAAATAAAGTGTTTTAAATGTCAAAATCAATTCGAAAGTAAACTACAGCTTTTACAAAACAAACAAAGCTGCCGGATTTTAAACCAAACAAGACTCACAGATCCGTGTTTCTGATATAAAAGACTAGATTTGATCATAAATGAGCTGTAACTTACACCTCTCTTTGTAGACGAAAGCCGTAAAAACTTTATGTACTAAAGGAAGATTATGTGTTTGTCATAAACCGGAAATATCTTTTTTATTATTTATTATTTTTCTTATTACCAGGAGAAATTGTAACAGATCTTGTAGCAGTGATCGCGGGATTGAATATACAGTAACAATTTTGGTTAACAATGTTAAGACCAGAATAATGCAAATTAAACACAACACTTCATTAAATTGGATGTAAATTAACGGTGGATCTAATTTAAATAACGCCAGGCAATGTAAACCGCTTTTGTAAGGATCGAAATTAAAATTTCCTGGATTTTACAGTTTATTTCGTTCAACGTACAGAGTGGTTTTAATTCTTGTTTGCCATAAAAGATGGGCGGATACGATGGATTTAAAATTTAAATGGTAAACCGTTAGTATTAAATTCACAAATGTCTTGAGGAAATTATGGAGAAGAAAAAGCGTGACTAGGAGGACCCAGACGTGATCAGAGGGGTTTATTCAAATTGCATATTTATTAAACACTGATCTCTTACGAGTGAGACAAGCTCAAACTTTTTATTTCTTTTTTGTAACCTAAGTTAAAGGGGTTCAATGCACAATTAAATAACTAGGCGTTTATCATACCAAAAATAAACATTAACAATTATTTTCAATTTATTAAGGTATTGGTTGAGATAAAAAAGTCAGTGTCACGAGCGGGATTCGAACACACGATCTTTGGCTAGATACGCCGCTACTCTACCACTTGAGCTATCGTGACTTTTATCTCGACCAAAACCTAAATTAATTGAAAATAATTTATTTGGTCAAGCGGACCACGAAACAATAAAATTAAAAATTATCCAATCCAATATTCTATTGTGGTAAATAACATTTTTTATAATTAATTATATACATTAGTGATACTGTATGATCAAAACTTAGCTAAAATTTCCTACTATGTGTTTCACCCAAAAAGTCCTCCATTTGAATTAAATTGATTCCCCAATTCAATTAAAAATGCAGGGTGGAACAGTTAGGGGTGGAACAGTCTATTCAGGGTGAGAATGAAGAGAGAAAAAGATAGAAAATAGGGAGATGAGTGTGAGAGAGAGAGAGAGAGAGAGAGAGAGAGAGAGAGAAAGAGAGACTGTTAAGTAAGGAAGAGATTTCAATTCAACCATCTCTTTTGTCACAAAATATATAGATAGAGATACAAGGAAAGGTGAATAATTGAGAGAGAAAAAAAAGAACAAGAAAATCGGTAGAAATTGAGAAACTGGATGGACATATTTAGATTGATGAGAAAGGGTAAAAAATATACAAAAATAAAGAGAGAGGGGGGGAGATCGAAAGTGAATAAGGAAGAAAAAATAAGGCATTAATAAAGAAAGAACGAACAGAAAGAAAAAATCGGTAGGAATTGAGAAATTGATGGAGAATGAGAAAGTGAGAAATATATGTAATTAATGTAGTAATGTAGATTTGGGGAGGGAGAGAGGTACAAAAAATGGAGAGGTAAAGATAAACAAAGAAAGATTAAAAGACAAGGAGAGTGATAACGAAAAAAACGTAACTACAAAAAAACATAACATAGGTAGAGGTAGAGAACAAGAATGCGAGATAGATAAAAAAAGATTGATGGTTAGATTGAGGTAAAGATGGCGATAAGAAATGAATGAGAAAGAGAGTAGAAATATAGAGAAAGAGAATGAGTGAGAAAGAAAGCAAGAACGAAACAGAAAGACACTTTGTTTAAATTATGCTTTATTTTAATTATGTAACATAAAATTAATGCATGCTTGATAATAAAACTATAATTACTTATATTTTTTCATATTAAAAAAGAACTTTTTATTTATTTATTAATTTATGCTGGACTGCAATAAATGTGAATTCAGCAAATCCATCAAACGTGATTTTAGTTATAAAGTAATTAAAAGTTATAGTTATAAGTAACTTGATGTAATGTGTCTGACACATCTCTGGTTAGCGTTTCCTCGCGTTCTTTCCTCTAAAGATGGCGTTTAAAGGCATCTTTCAACGTAATGAACAGCAAGATTGTGCGGACCGGAAGTGATCGAAACTTTTCAATACTCAAAACTATATATTCAAAGCGGGAGCAAAGCACCGCGAGTTTTCCCGGCCCGGCTATGAACTATAGCAATGGGGAAAAATTAACTAAATCGAATTCAAATTGCCCCTGGGAATCGATTAGGCGGAGGGGACGAGGTAATTCTAGGAATCGGCTTTTCTTTTCTTTTTTCTCTTTTTTACCTCGAGTGGTACACAATTTAGAGTCACGGCTACCGTGCTTGCAGGTCATTGCCATCGGGTTCAGAATACGTTGGGCGACTTGACGCAAAGGATAACGAACTCGCGTTTCCGTTACCAACCTGCCCAAACATTGTTTTTCGGGAACGGACAAGCCATTGATCAAATAAAAATTCACCTATGTAACATACATGTAGATGTATGCAACTTAATGTTTCTTAAACATATTTTTTATTATACAAAACCATGTATGGGAAAATAATACGATTACTTAGGTGTATATATTATTAACCTACCATATGTTTTAGTTGGTCCTAATGACCAAAGCCTTAATTATTATGCATAGGATTGTTGTGTTGAAAAATTACCGATACGGAGGTCGTGGGTTCGAGTCCCGCTCGTGACGCTAATTTTTCAACTCAACCATACTTTGCAAAAAAATTAAAACCAACTATGTAGTAATGAATAAAAATCCCACAAATTTGAATGATTAAAGATTAAAAAAAGTTATCTCTAATTGTATCTAGAAAATATACGAATTATAACGGCTTAACGCAGAGAACCTAGGAAGAATATCGCGCCGAATGAACATATATTAAAAAAACTTTCACCAACATGGTTTCATCATCGCTGATCCTCCGTATTAAATTGTTTATAATCCGTTCTGACGACCTAGGGGTTATCGAAGAAATATCGCCAGGTTCTTTCCTCTTGCTGTCTGATTTCTGATCTTTAAGGGGATTACTAAGCAAAAAAATCTATTCCCAAAAAATTCTCGATATCGCACTCTACGATTTTGTCCACTAATTAAGCTTAGAAAATTTCATCATTAAACGTTAAGGCAATTTAGAAGCTCATAGAAATGTCGTTTTTTCTCAGTTATTCCACTAATGTCGTTACATTACTCATACGTACTTTAAAATTATCATTCTGACAATAAGGTCAGTAAAAAAATGTTTCTTTCATTAAATGTCCCCCCTTTGAATTTAATGGATGAAATGTAGGAAAATTGTATACAGGAGGCGTCTAATCGGATTTATCGATTGATTTTTTAATCACAAAAAAATCCGAAGAAAACTTGGCCGTTTTCAATCCCACTTACTTACAGTTACTTCATTCAAGTCAAATTTAGTTTATAAAGTAACGCCGGCATCATGAAAGTTTTACAACTTTGAATAACCTACCATTTCAATCCCGGAATAATTAACTTTAGGATAAGTCTGTAACAACTAGGCTTATCGGTGATCGCTAAGACATGGGGGAAGGAAAGGAAAGAAAATTCGTTACACCTTAACCACAACTTTTTACACTTAAAAAACGTACACATTGTGGCTGGATGCTTGTAAATGTATGTTATGTATTATGTCCTAATTTATGCTTTATGTGAGAAAATCATTTTTCCAAGTTCCCCTAAATCGATAGATTTGGTTATCGACCATTTTTAATTCAGCTTGTTCATTTGCCATTCTACTTACTTAGTATAGTTCACTTATGTCAAATGAAGTATGTAAATGGGGAGAGAGTGAGAGGGGGAGGAGATAGAAAGCGAATAAGGAAGAAAAAATAAGGCAGTAATAAAGAAAGAACGAACAGAAAGAAAAAATCGGTAGGAATTGAGAAATTGATGGAGAATGAGAAAGTGAGAAATATATGTAATTTATGTAGTAATGTGGATTTGGAGAGGGGGACAGGTAGAAAAAATGGAGAGGTGAAGATAAACAAAGAAAGATTAAAAGACAAGGAGGGGAGAGAGACGAGAGATAGAGAGAGGAGAGATAGAGAGAGGAGAGATAGAGAGGGAGAGAGAGGAGAAGGAGAGAGAGAGAGAGAGAGAGAGAGAGAGAGAGAGAGAGCGAGAGCTTTCCCTCCATAAAACGATACCTCCATTACTCATTTTAAGTGCATCTGATTGTCTGCTGTGCATGTGTATGTGTGTTTCATTCTGCGATGTCCTGATTTATACAGTAATCTAGACAATATCCATGAAACAATGCCGTGTTGAAGTGTGAAATAATTAATTTCGATGACAAATTGAAGATAAATATCAGTACTAAATTCTATTGTTTAATTTTGTTCATAAATGTGTCCGTTTGTCTTTATATAATATTAACTAATATAATATTATTGTATTAGTGTTCATGAAAAAGAAACCTTACAACGATACAGATTTACATTTTAAATTCTTTCTGTTTCCTGTCTGCAGGTGTTTACTTTCAAGATAAGATCGGTTTCGCTTGTTTTGACAATTACGAGAGATCATCTACGCGTATGTTTTTGTGAGAAATATAAAAAAAAGCGTAGATAATTTTTTTTGTTTTGTTTTTGTGTTTATTGTTTAGAATCTGACTGATTTAAGGTTCAAGGACTGCTTGCTTGTACTTACCGCTTTTTTTTTCTTCGGCAGTTCGTCGTAATCGTCGTCGAGGCCGATGCCCTCGTCGGAGGCGGAAAACCAGTTGGGGGCGGACTCGCTGAGGGGAGGCGAAGGAGTGCCGGACCTCCAGGAACAGGCGTCCGACAGGGAGGCGGAGGGCGACAGCTGCTCCACCCAGCCTGCGGCAGAAAGTACATCATGAAGACACGCGGACAATTCGGGATAAATTGTTGCCGAGTCATTCAATGATATTTTCTGCGACCCAAGCAACCTTTCGATCCCTCCTATACAAATTTTTTTCTCTGAAAACGTACAGTTACAAGTTTCAAATTAGTAAAATAGACCCCGAATTGAGTTCATAAATAAAATAAATAATAAAGAATTCAAGAAAAGAGAACTATTTTTCTACGTTTTCTAAGATTAATTATAAAGACTACAAGGAAAGAAGGTTAAAGAAAAATAATAGTAATGAAACTTATGACATTGGTTACTAACGTTTCATTGTGTTGGCATACATGGCAAAACCATTAACCATAATCACTACTCAGTGTTTGTCGAGCCGACCGAAACATGACGCTCAACTTATTAATTTCGATGAGGGCTTCGGTCGGACGAGCTTTCGGCAAAAAGACCGACACGTCGACAAACGAGTGTCTTTCTACTTCTTCAACGACCTTCTCACAACCCTTTTTCTCTGAAAATGCCAAAGTTTTAAGTTTATATAGTAATAAATAAATAAACAGGGTCAAGTTGCAAGGTTAAGAAATAAGGTCGAGCAAGTTAAAAACGATAAGGTTCGTGTTATCGACGTAAGTAGTATGAAAGAACCTAAATAAAGTTAGTAGGGATTTTAATCAAGCTTTTCTTCAATTTACAGATTATTTAAACAATTTTTGTCAATACAATTCAGAAGAATTCTCGCAAAAAAGGTTATTGTCAACAGAGAGTGCTGTACAGTACTGTTACTGTACTGTACAGTTAGTAGGGATTTTAATCAAGCTTTTCTTCAATATACAGATTATTTGAACAATTTTTGTCAATACAGTTCAAAAGAATTCTCGCAAAAAGGTTATTGTCAACAGAGGGTACTGATTAGGGTAGAGGTCATATCCACAGGTGTCTGAAAATGCCAACGCTTTGCTTCAAAAATGGACTGTAAAAGAACGCGGATACGTACTGAACCACTCTAACTGATGAGGAAGAAATGAGACGATTTTTGAAGAAAAAAATAACCACCACGTTTCCCAGATACTTAGGATATTAACCGTTGTGTTAAAAGCGTTATTGTGCTGGTAAAATCTGTAAGTCTGAAAGACGAAAAACAGCGCTAGGCAGAGTGAAAATGATCGGAAAGAAAATCTCACTTGATTAAACTGCTGTCAATAGTGTCAGTCTAAATGAACATTGCCAATTAGAGTATTCATCAATCAACCGTTGTATCATGTTAAATGTGTTACTGAGCTATAAGATGTGGTAAGACTGACAGATCAAAACAACGAGGATAGACTGAACGAAAATAATTAGAGTATCAAGCTGAAGGCCATCTCACTGCCCTTAAGACATCTCACAACATCAAACTACTGTAAACAGTGGCCTAACAGTCTAAGCTAACAACAATTAGGGTATTGTGTTAAATTTTACTATTGATGTATTGACTAGTCCGAATATACATGAACGACCTTTCGAAATTTTCATCTGCTAAGTGTGCTAACGTGCTCAGGGAGATTATTCATAGGTCTTACGAGCTGTTAATTTATTCTTTCAATTAATTAATCTTTATGTAAGGTATTGGTTGAAATGAAAAAGATAGTGTCATGAGCGGGATTCGAACCCACGACCTTCGGCTCAATACGCCGCTGCGCTAACCACTTGAGCTATCGTGACTTCGATCCACTCGGACACCAACTACCTATTTCGACCAATTTTCGAATTTTGTTCTCCTTTTTGCCATTTTTCATTTCAACAAATACCTTACCTAAAGATTAATTAATTGAAAGAAGTTATTTGGCCACGAAATATAATGGATTTAATAAGTAAATCGAAGTATACTAAGAGCTCTCCGAAGCCATTTCATTTGTCGCCGAGAATCGAATCCTGATTACACGACAATTGAAAAATGACAAAAAAGGAGAAAAATTCGAAAGGTAGGTTGAAGTGGGGAGTTGGTGTCCGAGTGGATCGAAGTCACCCTAGCTCAAGTGGTTAAAGCAGCGGCGTATGAGACGAAGGTCCTGGGTTCGAATCCCGCTCGTGACACTAGCTTTTTCATTTCAACCAATACTTTACATAAAGATTAATTAATTGAAAGAAATTATTTGTCAATCAGACTACGAAATATAATGGTGTTAATTTATTACTGATTTTTTTTTAATAATAAAGAGAAGTAAAAAGAAAGAGTTGCTACATTATCTGTTTAAAAACCCAAGATGAAAATCTACTTTAATTATCTTTCTGATCTTTCCTTTCTTAATCTAACTGGTTTCTTTCTTTTTAGATTATTTTGTCTAAATGTAAAATGCTTAAGCAATAAAACAAAGCCTAACATTAAAAGAGCTTACAAAATAGCATAATGTTTAACAGAAAACAAGTCGTTTGAACTCTGTGTTACAAAACCTCTCGTCTTTAACACTGTCAGCACAGTTTGCATGAATACCCCTAAAGTTTGCTTATATTTAGACCCCCGAGACAGTATGGACGTCTTTAAAATTAAGATTGTTCACCAGGGTTGAGATCAACAGGTCCAGGTTATTAATGTATTCGTGGCAGATGGATGCCCCTTAACCAACCGCCCATCACTTCCTTGATCATAATGCGTTGCTTCAATTCCAGTTAATATGTAATCCATCACCCTGATGGTTTGTTTATCCTGACAATTTTTTTTAAATGGAAAAATAGAAGACAAAGAGAACTTTAAACCTAAAAGTAAAGCTTAACTACCTTAGACATTTATTGTCAATCGGTCACGTATCTTGAATCAATTTGCCTCCATTTTGTTACAACTTTGCGTGATGTTCAGATTGAATAACAGGTTAGCAAAATTTCAACCACAAATGATTGATTACAGATATGTAAGACGTTTTAAATTAATTTCAAACAAGAACACTATAAACAAATTGTCAAGGTTTTTTTTTTGCTTAAATCGTCTGGATTTACACAGACATATTTAAAATTTTCCTTGCGGACTTATCTGATAACAGTGTCAAACAAGTTATAATCCCCATTACTTTGCAGTTATTTAACAAGGCAATTAAAAATTAGAAAGTAAAACTATCTCCACTCCCCGCAAACAGAAAATACTAATTGAGTAAAAAGTATTTTGTTTGCAAATCCGTTTAAATCATATCTAAAATCTAAGATTATATTTGTTAAAACTGAAAAACATTAAATACATACAGGTTTTTAAAAGTTATTTATAATTTAAGGGATTAAACGACAGATAGCTTGGAAATCTTTATCATAGGGGCAGGTTTTGCTCGAATGCCGTGCCCCATTTTAAGCTGTGTCGACATGGCTCCTTATGTAGAGCGTGCGGGGGACAATACCATTGATACCTCACGTTTTGTTTTTCTTTTTAGTATCTTAATATATTATATAGATGGTGATCGAATCGGAGAATTTATTAATTACTGTTAATTTGTGTTTGGAGATAAAAGAGATTAAATGGCAGCTATAGACAGAGAATTATGAATAAAACTTAAATAAACTTGGTCAATTTTTAGTTCAGTAGTATGCTTTTTGTTTTGTTTTAATGATTTATATCCGTGAGGGCGTAACTGTTCAAATGATAATTAATACGGGGCATAAGCATATGAATAATAGAAGGGCAAATGAATGAATATTCAAGTTCGAAAACATTTTCAATGTCAAAGGACATTGAAGGTTTGCCTCGACCAGACCGAGCGGACCCATTCGCCCGCGCCCATTGTTAAGAGCTGTTGCGCAGAAGTTGATCACTGCTGACGGGAATTGACCGGAAGTTGCTCAACGCCCCGTAGATCTTTGGCCTACTGTGTGATCAGTTGACCGTGTGAGCCGGGCGCACGTACTCTACACGGTACAGAACCGGTAAAAAAAAGGGAAAGTTACATTTCTGTTTTTAATTCAACTAACAAGAGCTTTTTAAAACTAGGCTAAATTTTTTTTACAGGGGTCGCGCTGCGATTCCCCTCCTCTAATGACTTCTCACCCTCCGGGTCATACTTGGACAATTATCAACGGCATAAATTATTAAAACGTAATTCAAAGGAAATGTTGATATACAGCTTTGTTTGTCTGGCCGGTTTAATGAGCCCGCTATCGCCCGAGTGGGGATAGGGTGAGGTTCAAAAGATAGGAGAGACAGCCTTGTTTTTTAAAAGGCACGACCAAGGCTGTTGTTGCCAAACAGCCTTACATCGCTTCCTGCATCTCTCCAGGTAAGCCCACATGCGTGCGGCACCGAGGCTACCGCAGAATATGTCAAGGTCCAGCGGGGAAGAGTTCACAATCTCACGGATAACGTATTTGGTTTTGACAAACTTTAAGACGTCACAGTATACACAATATTACCTGGATTTGATTTGATCAAATAAACGTCTTACAAATAACAATTTTTCACGAGTAATCAAAGGCAAATAATATATGACTCTTAACTGTGCCTGCCTTTCCCAGCTTATATCCCTGACACTGAACATAGCAAATTACTCAAACACTTCTGACAGACATCACAATGATATAAAGAAACAATTCACAGAATTGGAAACAGATCGCAAATCTGAAGAAAGAAAAATTTAGAATATTATGATATATGATTCGTTAGAGATCGTGAGATGCGATCTGTTCGATGTAGGTTTAGAAAAACATACTTTATCGTGCCACGTTTCGAGCTTCACTGAGATCATCTTCAGGGCTCAAAGAGTTTGTTTTCTGTGTAGATGTGTCATTATTGTGTGTCGTGTTGAGGCTAAATCCCAGGCCCTGAAGATGTTCTCAATGAAGCTCGAAACGATGGCACGATAAAGAAAATGTTTTTCTAAACCTACATCACACCAGACCGCATCTCACGATCTCTAAATAATCATTAATTTAAATTGTTAATGAAATGAAGTATATCTTTGTTAATTTTTCGTTAATTAATAACTAATCCTGTTTTGATATTGAGAAGGACTGTTTTTATCAAGGCTCTCGAATAGCAGTTTACCTTCGAAAATTTTAGAAACTCGGCTTTCGAGATGGAAAATTTTAGAAAAACTTTCTTCTCACGGGAAATTTAGGTAATTCAAGTAATACCCGACTTGATTAAACTGTCATCATACCCAATAAATTTTACTGGTCTCGCTCCTGTCAATTTACGCGCTTATAGGGGTAAGGGGGGTGGGGTGGGTCATGGTCTCATTCCATAATCAAAATTGGAAAATAAAGAAAAAACTTGAAATATATCTGTTTTTTATTTTCCTTTTTTATTGTTAAGTATTGATTGTTACGAAGCGGGAAAACGCGGCCTAGGCCAACGGTTTCGGAGTTGCCGAGGTGCAAGAATTTCAAGGAAGTTGGCCCCACCTCGCCTTTGGCCATGGCCAAGGCCGGATAAATTTCGATCTTGTCCAAATCCGGGGTAGGCTTCTGACGGATGCCTCAGGCCAATTTGCAGTGACATATGGACCCGGAACATCGGATCACGGGCGGACGTTTGGCCAGAAGGATTTGGGCTACGGCGAATGCCAGGGTCTGCGTAATCGATGGAGTACTGACGCTATCTAGGCCAAAGTCGGCCTCTAATACTTCGTTCAAAGCCGGCCGTTTACTACTTTGCACTTAAAACATTCGACTTAACTCCATAGCCCTAAGAACGCCCGGAATTTAACGTGATGTACAACAAAATAATAATTGTATAAGAAAAACCTACCAAAAAGAAATAGTTAAAAAAAGGAACTTGCTTAAAAAACAAACGTTATGAAAATCTTTTTTTAGGGTTAATAAACGTGTCGAAAGTAGAAAAGTACCACAAAATAATAAATGTATGTATAAATAAAGTAAACGGTTAAAAGAATTAAGGAATGCGACCCAAAACGCCCGCAATTTAACGTGTTCTATAAAAAAAATAATACTTAAAAAAAGGAACAAATGTAACGAAAATCTGTTTTTTTCGAAAGTACAAAAGTACCACACAAATGGTACAATAAAATAAAAATTAAATCAAGGAATGCGACTCAAAATTTAATGAGCATTCGAACAGCCTCCTACTTTGGACAATTACAACATCCGACTTAACTCCATAGCCCTCAAAACGCCCAAAATTTAACGTGATGTACACCAAAATAATAATTGCACAAGAAAACCACCAAAAAGAAATACTAAAAAAAGTAACTTTTACATAAATAATAGAAGTTACGAAAATACGGTTTCCACTTAATAAACGTCATCGAAAGTACAAAAGTACCAATATCAAGGAATGCGACCCAAAATTTAAAGCTACGGTACAAAATGCTAAAAAGAAAAGTCTAGTTTGAAAATAGCATGTTAATCACGATGACATCCTCTGATAGGATACAATTAAATAACGTTTCTCTCAATAATTACCCGAAAAGAGGAAGAAGCTTTGTCATATTTCATGTTTAAATCTCTTCGAAACTTTACATACAGGGTTGACGGTTGGAAAATTGGCCATCGTAGTGAAACGGGCTTAAATTTGACATACGACATGGCTAATATACATTACAGTTAATCCTAACAGTAATTCTCGTACGGGCATTAACTACGGGGGATTATTTCCATTGAATTTGGTTAAAAAAAAATCTTAGAGTACCAAGCAGTGATAAACAAAAAATTAGTTTTTAAGGCATTTATGAACAAAGGGAGTGAAAAAGATTAAATTAGTTTATTTATTTTCACACTTCAGCGAAAACAAATCGGGATGATTCCACTAAAAATTATATTTAATTACACTATTATTTAAACATTTCCATGTAACGAAATAAGGGATTTTTTTGTTGATTAAAAATAAGATGAAGATCATTTTTCTTCAAAATAGGCACATGCGCGAAGAGAAGGGAATGATTAACTCTTTTGACCCGAATTTAAAAAAAAATGCAAATACAGATATTTTCGCTTTGTAATTAATACGTTCATTGTTATTATGAATAAAACAATAGTGGAACGTCTAAAAATGAATTATTGTACATTGCTCGAATGATTCACACAGCTGGACGCCAATAAAGGATTTCGAACGGTACGCATAAAATGAATCATCCCGTGGTGGTGAAGTAGTAAAGAAAAATAAATACTTTTGTCAAATAATTTGATAACGACCAAAATATTTGAATAAGGCAGAGGATTATGGATTCTAAGAGTCAATTCAAAAATTTTATGTAAATCTGATAACGTATTAAAAGAAAACAATCTGAACTATTAGAAAACAGATAACATCTTCCGCGAATAAATTTTCTCGGCAAAATGCTTCTTGAGGAAAAAACAATAGAATATTTATATCAATCTTCCTTTTTTTTTTTTTTTAACGAGAATGCTTTCAGAAACTTTATGAGCCTTTAATCGCCAAAAAAATTAAGTGTAAGTAACCTAAATCTTTTTTATAAACGACTTTTGTAAGGGGATTCTTTTTCATTCTAGAGAAGTTCGATCCGGGCCCTGGTTAGATTAGTTCCTGGGATATTTTACAATTTTGTTTTTAAAATAACAAAACAGAAAATGTAATCCGTTTTTGCGTTTTCCTTCTTGACGATCAGAATGGAAACAAATCACCGTCACATTTCCCATCAAAACAACCGTTATATATCCCCACTGACAGTTTAAAATCAAAATGATCCTCACGCCTCTATCGGGGCAAATTTGGACGTCGTCGCCCTCGCGGATCGAATATTGTTTTTCCGAGTTGATTATCCGGTCAACGGCACATGTAGCTTTTAACGATACGCCATACTAATAGGAATCTGATGGCTAAATAACGAGCTGTTGTTGCACTTTATCGGATCGGTTTGTGCTATGTCCATTAGCACGTGGCCCGGGGCGTCAGGATGCTATAAGAAGTACAAAAAAAAGGCCAATCTATCTGTCGAAAAAATATGTAAAAATAGATGCTAGGTGTCTCCTTGACATCAGAGTGATGGACTTGTAAGTTGGGCGTTTCCGATCATCCTGGTCTAGCCAAGTGCGTTTCGGCATTTGCAAGACATATCACTGGAGGTGCCAGGATGATCACAAACCACATTAAACTTATTAAAATGAGTAAAAAATCCAATTTGTTAAAGCGTTGGCAAGTTCAGGGAGGGAATGATCAATGTGTCCATTTAGCAATTTGTGTTTTACCAGAGGGCGAATGTGGACTGCAAGAGAGGTGCATGAGGACGAGAGCGGCTGTACATTCGTCCATCAGGTCTTCCTTCGCGTCGTCCTGGCTCGAACTCGGCCTTCTTTTACGAGATCTGAAACATAAATGGAAAAATCGAACAATTAGAAGGGAATACAATCGATTTTACTCTGCAGATGTGGATTTGTATTAAACTGATCGGCTTTGGTTGTTTTCCTGGATCTGACACAAGATCACCAACCATGAAAATCGGTTGTGAGACATCCTCATCGAGTTTATGGGATAATGGATCTTTCTGCAGCTTTTCGGCTATTTTTGCTCTACCTAGACTTGCCGTTTTTATTCTACCAGACATTGCAGCATTTTACTGCCTTCGGTGGAGGATTTGTGTCGGTGACTCTCCCTGCTCAAATCCCTGAAGCTACAGAAAATAACCAGAAGCAGAAACAGCCTGACAGATCAGAAATTCAGCTTATTGCTAACTTCAATAATGGGTATTTGTGGCACACTGTGTATGGCGAAAATTCGATGCAGACCAACCCAGCTAGGATATGCAAATCATGACTATCACATTACAGTAACTTCAAGTTTTTTTTTTTTTTTTTTGAATCTCAAGAGCATTTTAATCATAAAGGCATATATAACACACATAAATAATCGAAATTTCTTTAAGTACATTAATTTCTGATTTTTTACATCTCAGTTAGAATTTTGGAACAGTATTGAGAGTGCTAATTAATTGTGCTATACGGAGTTTTCAGGCGGACTTTTCGACTCACTTGTTAAACTTAAAAGTATTTAAACTTACAGGATTTGTTGATTTGTTTTGAGAGAAGTTTGAACGTCTTGAACCCTCCCGTTCAAGACAGAGATTAAGTATTGAAAATTATTTAAATAAATTTTAATCATCGTGCGCCATAAAATATGTAGACATTGAATAAAAAGAATTTAATGACACTGAGGAATTAAAATAATTATAATGAAATCAAGGGAAAAATAAATTATTCAGCCACACTGGTGGCGAAATGCCGAACAATAGACCAACCCAGCGAGGATAAGCAGACTAAGATTAATTAAGATCAAATTACAGAAAATATTTTTTTTCTTCTTTTAATCCTCTGAACTCCTAGGACTATTCTGCAATAAAATCAGACGGTATCAATCTTTTCCATCAAATTACTGAAAATATTTTATTTACTGTTTTAACCTTCTGACCTGCGAGGACTTTTCTGCAATGCAATCAATCAATATCAGTCTTTTCGATCAAATTACGGAAAAATATTTTATTTATTAATTTGTTGAAGTAGTTAGGAGCAGTCAAGAAATAGGTAGTTTAGAATAGCACCTTTTTCATTTTTATTGCCTTCGTTTCGACCTTTATTCAGTCGAAAAAATATAATGTGTGGTGATTAGTGACAGTTAATCGACATTTATTTAGAAATCGTGAGATGCAGTCTGGTGTGATGTAGGTTTCAGAAAAACATTTTCTTTATCGTGCCAACGTTTCGATCTTTATTGAGATCATCTTCAGGGCCTGGGAATGGCCAGTGGCACTCTCGGCACGACACGCAAGAATGAGACAATTCCACAGAAGACAAACACTTTGAGTGAGTAGAAATACTTTGATTGAATATATAAAATATATTTTCCATTGTATAAATTCACTTTTCCACATCCAAAATGTAATTGTATTATGTAAACAATGTTTGTAAATCCCAGGATCTGAAGATGATCTCAATAAAGATCGAAACGTTGGCACGATAAAGAAAATGTTTTTCTGAAACCTACATCACACCAGGCCGCATCTCACGATTTCTAAATAAATAAAAAATATAATATTAACTTTATTTTACTTTCATCTTCAGGGCCTGGGTAAATTACAAAACATGTTAATTGGAAACAATACAATTTAAGATGTAAATATAAATTTTGAACCAAGTATTTCATACTCACATAAGTTATAATTTATACTTACTTCTTAAATTGTATTTTTCACATTCAACGTGTTTTGTAATATACCCAGGCCATGAAGATAATCCGAATAAAGGTCGAAACGTCGGCCAAAAATATGAAAAAGGTGTTTTTTCTAAACTACCGCATTCTTGTCCGCTCCTCACGACTTCAACAAATTATGAAACAATAGGTCACTAAGAAACACATTTCATTTAATGTTTTAACCCTCTGAACTGGACTTTTCTGCAATAAAATCAGACCGAATGAATCTCGAAATTTTATACAGGTCGTCTCGCCAAGGCGCTCGTCAGATCTGCAAGATTGATCCACAAGCCAAGATAATGGGTTCGAAAGTGAAGGTCCTCTTAAAGAATGTTTCATGATCTAAACGCACGTCACACTTGTAACAAACTTTCACGAGAAAGCCGGAGGAACACTTTCCATTCCTTTGTGCGATCCACTTCCAGCAGCAAGTTGCAGACCAACGTTTACAGCCTACTTTCAGTTTTTTTATAAATACCGAACGACAGGGCAGCCTAACTGGCAAAAATTGACATTTACGACCGTTGATATGTTGAACGTTATTGTAACTGATTTGTAGCACCAAATTTAACCTATTTACTTTCGTGTACTTAAAAAAAATATTTTCCCATTTTTCTAATGCTTATTTGTATAGGGTCTGCTGGGTGATGAACCACTAGTTTGGTCGTCTGACAGTCCAAAATAGCGAGAATAGGCAGACTAAAATGAACGGAAATGACCAAACTGCACACTTTTGTACAGCTTTTATAACACTGTTCGCTAAAATAAACAAAATTCACTAAGCTTTAAACTTTACCCGAAGAAGGAAACTTTCTTATACAGGACAAAGAAGATTTGACAATACAACAGAATAATAATAAGAAATTATTTTTCTCAAGATTGTGACCCAAAAAACCCACGAAGAACTAGCACTTCGGATATATTTTCTCCACGATTTCATCAAATTGAACAGAACCTTCAAATAAGATCTGGGATAAAACGTCGATCTCTGATAAAATACGCATATAAACCAAGGCCGAGGGATCGAAACAAAGCAAACAGGTCCATTGTCTTACTGAGATAGTAAAGACTTTTTTCCGTGTATCTCGTCGGGCGATGTTCCAAAAATGCGGGTTTTGAGAAAATGCTTAAAAGTTTGTAGTTCATCCGATTAAGATAGAAAAAAAAACATCGACGGGGTCTGAAAGTTTGTAAGTTTAATTTATACCGAAAAATAAGCGATAAAACTGTTCTATTTCTTCTTGCGGTCTGCGGGATGATGAACCTTTGGTTTTCCCATAATTTCGCCTATCAGAAATTTCGCCATGTTCAAGGTTTGTGTCGGCACCTCTCCCTGCTTATATCCCTGACTGCCAACTAATTTAATCAAATGTATTTCTGATCTGATAAACCTAGAGATTTTTTTTAACGAAGTTGATTAATTATTGACCACGATATTCGATTATGTCAGATTAACCGAACCGATTAACACGACCGCGCGTTCTGACGCGCCAACCTCTCGGTTACCGCAATCCCTCAAAGCATCAAGTTATGTATAAAGAAGTCTGCATAAATATTCCGTCAAGGAAATGATATGAATCTTACTAAATTAAAAAAAAAATTTCAACAGCTACTGGGAAAAATTGCTCTTCGAAAATATCAAGCGTTTAAAACCGCTATGGAAAGTATTAAAGACCCTGGTGGAATATCAAGGTCCATCTCGTTAAAGTAATGACTAGTAATGGATAGAGCTAGACAGGGAAACACCGGGTTTCTCTTAATATTTCTAATAAAACGTTTTATTTCGATAATAAACGATTATAGAATTTTGTGTTTATTGCCGGTTGACAATTTTCCGAGTTTTCTCCTCAACTTTCTCGTCCTATAGAAGAAAGTCATTTGTTGGAATATTTACTTTTCCTTTAAAAAACCGTACTGAAAATCAACAGAATTTTTTTTACTTCATATCCGACTGTAATGGCATGACCTAGATAGCAATAGACCACTTTATCAAAGTTATAATTTACGCTTAGTTGGTCGGTTTTGACCCATTGGGACCATGTTAACTGTTAAAAACAGACAAGAAAGGCTAAAATAAATGTTAACAACTTGATAAATCTTTTTACGATCGATTTTTATTAATTGAACTAAGGCTCATTTATTTTGTTTTGATGTAATAAAGATTTGAGATAAGCCTGTTATCTAATTTATACGTAATATAAGAAGTGTTGTTTTAACAAACAGTCCCTTTCATTTATTAGTAAAAGGCGAAAAACACACAAGCCGGATAAGCCTGTTTCTCCCGTTGGCATTAAAAGAGCCGAAAGGGCACCGGTCGTTTTTCTCCTTAAAGAGAAACTCCCGAAATCCTTATTAAAACGTAATGCCGCTTTTTTTTAAGGCTAGCCCTGGGGATCTTTGAAAATTCACTTGCGAACCAGTGACAAAGCGTTCCACTTTCCATCCATTCCCGTTCTAACAGGATCTCGAGGCAACCAACGGTCTTTCCGGTTCCCTCTCCTAATACATATCTTTCCCTCTCTCGCGTACTCTCTCTCCGGCCTTTACTCACTGAAAAATAACTCCCGTAATCTTTATAGGGCTCTCGGTGAAAGGCTGTAAAAGCAGAGTTTAAATGGTGATTTATCTCTAAGGCCGTCTCGTGGATGTTTGGCCTCGCTGTTGAACAGTGGCTTTTGAAAATCATATCAGCCATGGTAGAAATGAACAGAAGTAAAACAAAAATTACAAATTGAGAAACTCTAAGATACGGGGTATTGACGCAAATGTGAGGAATACTCCACATTGGCGTTAGCCAACCGTTCTGCCAGCGTGCTATTTCGTTTAATTCTCAACCCCAGCTTGGTAATGGTCTTCTTATCAAATATTAGTTTCTTAGAATGGAAATATTCACAAAATAATCAGAAAGCGAGAAAACTGTTAAGACCATAAACGGGTCAGAAAGGAGGTCAGATCAGGATCCAACTCTATTTCATCAAAGGGTTGCCAAAACAATAAACAGATAATCTATCAACTCTGCCTATTTACTTATCTTTCGTATTTAAAAAAATAACTTTCATGAACAAAGACAGAACAAATACAAAACATGTTCGAAAACCTACCAATAAACATTATGTCGTTAGAACATTTAGCAGAGCAAAAACTCGAAGAACCTGAACCTGTCTGCCTACACTGATCTGGTCGGTTAAATGCATTTTAACATGGTGCTATCTTCAGTTGATAGTGTTGTTTAGTTCAGGTTGTAAGGGCAAAAAAAGATCTATAACACACCAAACCGGGAAGGACGGGGGAACCAAGATGACCGAAAGACAATAACAGTTTAGTCAAAGGCAATCAGTATTTTTTACTGCCTATATTTTATGGCATAGCGGTGCGAATTATGTGCCCAAAGAAAATGATCGATAATCACGACTATTTTTGAAAGAATATTCAAAAATTGAAATATATAGTATAGTGATAGAGGGGAAAGTCTTTCCTCCTCAATTTGTGTTATTTTGCGCATTTACCAAACTGTTTTGGCAGATCAAAAAATAAATAAATAAATGCGTGTCTCTACTTTTCAGGTCTAATGGCATCCGGACTCACGTAACATTTTCTTTTCCCTAGGAGTTCCTTAGGCTCTCGAAGGCTTCTTGCCGTTCTTGTTTTCAAGTAAATTTTCCACTCTTTTTTAGTTAGGTCAGTGTTTGTCCTGTTTTCCTGAGTATGTAAATTTCGTTATGTGTACAATTATAGTTTTTTGTCAATTTGAGTGACTGTTAGATCTAGGATATGTATACTGTATTGTATGTTTTTTTGTCAGAGGTTCTGGTTTATAGGTTAGTCGTATATGCAGTTTATTTATTTGTTTATTGAGTAATTTGTACGTCTTTGATACTTTTAGTTTGGTCTGTTCAGTTTCTTACCAATCTGTTTTGTTTAATTTTGTGTGTTTGATTAATTTTGTGCTGGCCTGTATTTCATAACTGGTCTTTTGAGTCTATTTTATTAATGTAGTTTTAGTTGATGTGGGCTCATGTTGCAGTTTATGACAAATCATATTAGCTTGTTGGTCGTAGTATTGTAAATTGTATATATTTATTGAATGGTCTTATGGGTATGTTTTGTTTATGTAGATTTGAGAAGGCAGTTAGTTTTGGATAAATTGAGTGTCCTTAAATTTTGCTGATGTGGGCCCATGTCTATGATCAGAAGGGATTTTAATAGTTTCTAGGTTATTGTAGTTAGACGAAGATTTGTTTCGTATTGCCTAATTTGATGTTGTGTTTCAGTCCTTTTCGTAGTAATACGTTTCGTATTTGTTGAATGTGTGTTTATTAGGTTCACGAACTTTCGTTTGGCGTAAGAAGAATGGTTTGTGGGTTGTTGATTGGATTATCTTTTTAGTATTTAGGTTGTATTGTCGTTTTACGTCTTCGGGGTTTCTTGTATAAAAAGTATGTTATTGATGTAGGTGGAAGTATGTTTCATGTGGAAGTAGTTTTTTTAATGTAAAGTCAAATTTTCTGTTTTTCTTGTCGTCTGTATTATGTCAGATATTGTTACGTACTCGTTATTTTATTTTTAACAAAAACTCAGTATTTTCGTGTTATCTATTTTGTTATGATTAAGGGGCATTATTTTTGTCTTATCTGTGGTTGTTTTTTTCGGTTATGTTTATAGCTATGTGACTTCTTGTGGGCTGAATTGATGTTGTGTTTCTATGCTCTTTCTCCATCATTTACTCAACATAACATTTACGCTTAAAAGTTTCAACTAATGAATTGGGTTTCTGGAAATTCTAATCATCTAGACAACCTTTACACGAATTCGGCCTTTCTAATCAATGTTCTACTGTAATACAAATCAGAAGGAAATGAAAATGTCTCTGTAGCGTTTATTATCAATAATTCATACAAAAGAGATGGAGGGAGGGGGAGGGAAGTGAGAGTGAGAGTGTGAGAGAGAGAGTGAGAGTGTGAGAGAGTGAGAGAGTGAGAGAGTGAGAGAGAGAGAGAGAGAGAGAGAGAGAGAGAGAGAGAAAGAGAGAGAGAATTGCGAAGAGCCGTTTATTTTGTTACAACATAATTGCTTTTACAATTCGGCAAACGGGCTCATTCTGAGTCATCAGCTTCCAAAGCTTTCTCGTGGGGCTTAATAACAGGTATGCAATTGTTCTTTAAAGCGGAATGTGTGAATTTAAAAAAAGGTTTCGAAAGTCTACAAAATAATTTGGGGATTGACGCAAGACAGATATTGAACTATTGTGGATATAAAACTTAATTTAAAAGATAAAAAAAGAAACAGGTGAAATTTGAATGCCCACATAAATCTACCTTTTAGTGACTAAACTCTAAACGAAAACATGTAAATTTATACAAGTTAAAAAAAGACAATTACAATAGGAGGTTTGAAAATGTGATTTTAATTATGGCAGGAATTAATTAAATGTAATTAAAATATTTAAAGCTGTTAATAGGAGTTGTGGAAATTTACTCTAATAATAAAATTTAAGAGTTTCAAATTTGTTTTTGTTAAATAGTTGTCAAATGAATTACCATTCTCACACTTTTATTACTGAACAGTTTATGAAATATGTAAATAAATTAACAAGTAAAAAAGTAATAGTTGTCACAATTATACGAGGTTTTTATTGTTATTATAATAATGATTCCTATTTAATTTTAAAAATAAGTTTCAAATTACAATAAAATTTAAACACTTATTATCTTCGCTGTTACGTCTTTATGCCGAGAATACACGTGTACTTTTGTTTGTGCAACTGTACTATCAACTCGTCCGAACAAGGACAAACAACGTGATTTGGTGAACCGTTGATAACGGTTCAACAACACGTAGTGTAACAATCGGACAATGAGTTTTTCAAGAATCAAAGAAAATTTATACAAACAACATTGATAAGGGTTTCAATAAAAGGCCGAAGAGGCGAGAATAAGCGGACACTGAGATCAAATGGGTCTATGTTAACTGGCCAACAATGACTTATTTATTTCAATAACTCTTTCATGAATGTTAATATACTAAATTGTTCCTTTGTTTCAGAACTGTGGTGGTATTGACATGAAAAATCAGATCGCACGACGTCAGGGTTATAAGCAGGGCGAGGCAAGAAACTGACCCCTACTAACGAGCGTCATGATAATTGATGAAACAATATTTTGCTTTGAACGAAAAGCCCTGACATTTGGAAATATCTCAATGTAGAAATATGTATGCTTATTTCCAAAAAATCTTGGAAAATGTCTGCTAGCAACTAAGCTTTAGAATGACGGCAGCTTACGTTTGTAATAAAAAATATTTTACCTTTTTAGTGATTTTTTTAAATTTGACTCCGCGCTCTGAATGAAAAACTATAAGAATATAATCTTGCCTGATATTTTTCTAACCATGTAAATAAAAAGGAGAACCAAGGGTTTTGTTGAACTACCACTGCCAACAAATGGAACAAATTATTTTCTTTTGTTATTCCTCATTTTAAAACTTACACGCAAAGCTTATACAGAGAAAAACAAAAACGAAATATCAGGTCTATCCGAACTCGATGCTAATGGGATTGGAAAGATTAAATATTCCAACTGCCCTAATGACACTTGGGCTTCTCCTATTCTCAATTTATTCTCATGGTGTTAATTTATTTAAATTTATACAACAGGTCAATCGCCCCCGTCAAAAAAATTGTAAATTTAGAAAAAATTCTGCTTGTAAGCGTAACAAATCAAAGAAAATGTGTTACAACTGGAAGGAGTAAGATTAAAATCAGTGGAGGACGCAACAGGTGTAAAATATAATTATTTCTTCCGGTTGACCTATTATTGATTGAAACTAAGAACAAAATTTCAGCGTTGGCATTTTTTTTTTTTTTTAAAGAAATTATAACATTACATTGTTAAAAGCTTAGCTTTTTTTATTTCTCTAATAAGTGTTGTTATCAGCGCAAGGTTTGATTAGTTGTTTTTTTAATGGAACCAGTAGAATGTCCGTAAATCCGGCTAATCAGTGTGACTGATAAATGCAATTGTCCACGTAATAAAGATTTTCCGTAATATTTACCAGTCGGTACTTATTTGATTTATATCAAAGATGACACGGTAGTTGATAGTTTTTAAATTATGAGATTTTCTCTAGGGGGTCTGAGGGGTGAGGAACCTAATGGTTTGTTCGTTTTCCATCATTATGGTCTCACCATTTTCGGTTTGGGGTCTGTTTCGGTGCCTTTCCCTGCTTATAGTCCTGACAACCGCTGAAGTCGGCGACCGATCAAACCAACGTGGATAAGAAAGCCAAAATGAGCGAAAACGACCCAACCACACTTTTAAATTGTAAATACAGATTTTTATATTTTTGAATTTTGTACATTATGAATTTTAAAAAATTAACCAAAAATCTACGTTATTTAGGAAACTGAAACCTTTTAATGATGTTATGGGATTATTAAATATAAATATAATTATACAATATTACATTAAATATTATTATCTAAAATATATTATTGTTAAATATATATTATATTAAATATAAAATATCGTTGACGACAAAATTTTCATCTAACTTGCTCACTTATTCTGAAAGTTAATCCATAGGTTTTCCAACAAGTTTTGAGAGTTATTGATCGTGATTAATAAAGATTAAAGATAAATAGAAAAGCAAAGTTCCTTGATTATCTGTTTTCAAGTACCATGGTGGAATAGTTTAATGAAATTGAATTTTATCCTACTTTGACCAACTTTTTAACCCTCTTTCCTCAATATAACTTTTTTCTGCAGTCTTTCTTTTTCGAACATTCCCATTAATTTCCTGCTATAAAACTAAGAGATTAGAAAACCCTTAAGCAGGCCTCAGACCGTGCTAGAGTGAAATGTGCTGTTAGTCATACAAATTTACGATTTTAAATAGGATTTTAAATTATATGGTAGATGAAATAACATGGATTGAAGCAATGGATAATTCTATCGGTAATATCACTTTAAAAAAAAGTTTATAGGTTCAGATTTGGCATGTTTTCCAAATACAATAGTTAAATGGTAGTTTGTAAGTAGACTTTTGCAGTGATAAGTCAATTAAAAGTAAATACTGACCCATATACAGGGGGAACGTCGATGTTGTGAGATGAGAGTCGTTTCCTGTCTCCGGCCATATCCGCAAGTCTTGAGTAATCCGTATCTTGATCTTGCAGCCTCGCCGATTTCCTGCACTCGGTCAGCCGGACGTCTTCGAGACGTTTTTTCACTTCGAGCTGGCCCTGGAACAAAAGAATGCTTAAGAAAAATGAAAAACTTTAACTATCGTTATATCATCTCAAAAACACAAGGTGTTAATCCTACGGAAAATCTGAATTTCCTGGTCAACGGACGGCATTCCGTGACCGGCGACGGATATTAGTGCAGTTCTTTTCCACAGTTCCGCGAAAAGGGTCGCAACCGGGTGGGTTCGTACGGAAAATCGACAAACCGGGGGTTGGGAAACCGGTGGGGGCGGCTTAATAATCATCCCGAACCAGAGGCGAAATAACACGCTTCAAACTGCGCGCGAGGGCGGGGTTTGGAAAATACACACGGAAAACACGGAACCGACCTTTTTCCCAGAATTAAGCAGGCGATTATTAATGATAGAAAAACGATTTAAAAAAAATAGTTATAAAGAATTTTACTAAAAACCTAAACATTCGTAAAGTCTTGTCCTGCGAATGAATATCTCTCTGCAATCTGTCATTAAATTTTAGTGTCCTGTGGAGAAACCTTCAAATGTTTTGTTGTTTTTTTTCATTCTGATATTTTACCCTTTCCAAGTAGTGAGATTGTTAATTGCAAAAGATCACCAAAGCTCATTTCAGTAAAGAGCACCTATTGTTTGTTCCCTTCGACACCCCCCCCCATGACTGGATCCCAGTGGAGGATGACCAAGCCTTGCTCCAACGTACATAGTTTGTTTCTGCAATCCAAAGCTGACAATTTTTTGCCTGTATAACGTTATAACTGTCTATATTTTTGTACTCTCTGTACAGATTGCATTAAAAATAGTGAGATTAATTTTTTTAAGGACCAAATACAACCTCTGAACCTTCTGCGTTTTGGACTGGTCAGTGTACCTCCTTTTAACAAGGCGGTTACCCAGTTTATACGCAGTCCTTTTAAGTCATGATTATTAGGTATTCTCTTTGGTTATTAGAAGATCGCTCAAACCATCTTGTTCTGATAGTTTCGCCAAAGCACCACCATGACTGAAAGAGTTCCACAAGTCTTGTTATCCGACCCTTTGAGACGTCACCTTTCACAGTGTGGGCCTTTTGAATTTATGATCCCCCAGAGAATTTTTTCCGCACGCACACATATTATTTTCATTGGTTTGCATGCCAACTACATATAGGAAAGTTAGTACTCGTTTACATTTAAAAAAAAACTTGTTGAATGCTTGAGGCGTAAAAGAAGCATTCCGTGATATAACAATATAGATAATAATGAGAACGAGAGTCCTTATGAATATTCGACTGAACAAAGAAGAAAGTGAACGTAACTGGAGCAACTGTGCATTTTCCTTAACACAATTAATGATTTAATATATATAGGTGTAAAATTTAAGATTGTGAATACAATAAACTTAAATACTGTATTTTTTCTTTAGAAGGAGGAACCTCGTCTTCGTGTTAGATCTTTGTGCCATTATAAATCGTGTATAAATAAATCATAAAGGCTTTCTATTGCATATTAGACGGTTTCGCAATATGGTAAATAGTTGGAACTATACCGTATCTAAGGCTTGCCCACCTCGTTCCGAGATGGAAAACAAGATGAAATGTTCAACTTTCACACGCGCAGGAACTTGTTTCGCTAACGTTGAATTTCCGAGCGTGTTTTCTTCGTACCCTCTCCTTTTCAAGCTCCCAAGTAGTTCAAAAGGTTAACGCTTAAAATAGTTATTTCTCTTCACGCGCATACTTTCAACCCGACGTGTGTTCGCGACACGTTTTCCACCTAACTGACGATTTATGGTCTACCTTTTGAATCTGAATCCGTACTGACTTGCTGAAATTGCTACAAAATGTTAACTTATGAAATTGCAAAATACTATGAACGTACTATGTGTGGATTTTCAATTGATTTCAGAAGGCTATAATTAAGCAATTGGCTGGTTTTCCAGAAAACGATGTATTTTAGATGTAAAAAGCCAATAAAATATCAATCAAGTAGCATTTAAATAGCAATTAGCTGTGCCAGTCGGGCAGTAATGAGTTGAACAAATAATTATGACGTACTTAATATTTTAAAAATCGTCGTTACACTATTAACTGACCTTTACAGAAACAATAGCACAGTTATTTAACAATATAGTCAGGGATATGAAAGGGAGAGGTACGACATAAGCCTACCGAACCAAGGGAGTAGTTGTTAAGTTATGAAAATGAAAAATAATCTAAAGTATTTGGTTTAAAATAAGAAGCAATTGGCCGTTTTGTCACGAAACTTTTTTTAAAGAAAGCAACAGTCAAACATTTTAAATTAGATTTTAAAAAGTCAATAAAACAGCTAAGAATATTTAAATTTTGTGCCAGTCGGGCAGTAATAATTTAGAAAAAAATGTTAAATATTTAAAATGAAATCTAAAATAATCGATATGTGAGCTATTGAATTTAATGTTAAAAAAATAAAATACTGAATTGATTTAATCACCTGCTTATCAACTGAACAAGTCTTAACTATTTCATAACAGTCCAATCAGTGATAGAGGGAAAACAAATTTTATCAAGAATTTGTAAGAAAAAAATGAAAATGTACTTAGAACGGCTTTGTTTTTGTGTAAATATATATTGTTTTATTTGGAACAGATTAATCGATTTAGGTTGTTCCTGGTTTAACGTTTACAAAAATTATAAGGCGTTTTTTTCTGTATATAAAGTTTAAAAATTGAATTCTAACTAGTGAAGGGTTATCCTATTAGAAATTATTATTGGATCGCTAAAATTCAATCAACAAAACTTACATATTTATTTTTTTATGGTGTTTATTCAAACTGAACCGTGCCAAAGTAGCAAGAGTTGAATTGACGCGCCTACGTAGCAGAGAATTTGGCTGTAGTTTTTTTATGTTATGTTGATCACAACATCCTCACCGGAACGTGCGTCGTACATAGTATTTTTCGTAAAGGGTAGAAGCGCAATAGGAAGTTGAAATTTACGTATCTGTCAAATGTTTTCCTTTATTAACACAGTTAGAGTTTGAATGGCCGTTTAATTCTGGGTGTGTGTATTATCTGCACTTAATTAAGGAAATTATCGTAACAGGACTAGGCGAAAAAGCCATCGTTTTTAAAAATAATGATGCAATTGATATATCACAATATAAATAGTCGTTGCTGTGCTAAAAATTATCTTGCAACAAAGAATCGCGTACACGTGCCCGGCTGCGTCAAGGCCGCCTCGGAGAAACGGAGAGAGGGGAAAAAAGGCCGAGATGGATTTGAAACGCTATATATATAATGTTTACTTTTAAGAGGAAAAAAATATTTTAGACCGATGCCGGATTCTTTTTTAACATTTCAGCTAGGTCGATTAACTAATTTCGTAACAGAAATGAGTGGGATTACGCAAACACCGGGAGAGACCGCCCGAGGGAGTCGGTACGTGCGGAAACCGGCCGGCTATCCACCCGACACGCTTTGTTTCTCTTCAAAACAATGCGCAACCGGCAAAAAGGATGGAACACGATTCTCCATTTTCTGAAGAGGCAGTTTTTAAATATATACAGAGTATCGCGTGCGTTTATCGCGGCTCGCTACAGCCCAAGGGCAACTTTGGTAATACACCCGAAAGGATACTAAACCGGCATTACAGCGATGTCGTACCGGTTTGCGTTTTCTCGGTATGTAATCCCGCTTTTCTGGAAATTTACGGCGGTGTGAGAAGGAACGGCTTGCGGCGCAGTGTTGACCAGGAATTGTGTCAGATTATATTGGAAAATACGCAGCGGCGCGGTGGTTCCGGGTTAACTTCTTTTCAACCGTATCAGCCTTTCACCACTTAAAATCATTCGCAGAAAACAACTTAATGAAAGAATTAACTTTCGCTTTTCGTTTAAAAAACTTTTCTTTTGCATCCATTACATTAAAATGTAATAACAACCATCTTTACGGCCTGGGATTTACTAAAATTGTTTGGATTATACAAATACTTGTAACATGTGAAAATGAATTTATACAATGATGTACTCAATATAGAAATTTTAGGTTTATTCAAAGTATTTCTACTCACTCCAAGTGTATTTTATTTTTTTTTACTTACTACAAACTTACTGTATTTATTTTTAAAAGCGTTTTGTGAAAAGTGTGTGGTGATTAGTGACCGTTAATCGATAATTATTCAGAAATCGTGAGATGCGGTCTGGTGTGATGTAGGTTTCAGAAAAACATTTTCTTTATCGTGTCAACGTTTCGATCTTTATTGAGATCATCTTCAGGGCCTGAGATTTACAAACATTGTTTACATTTAACAAATACATGTAGGATGTGGAAAATAGTGAATTTATACAATGCAAAAAAAAATTTTTTTAATTCAATCTTTCATTATTTGTTAAATGTAAACAATGTTTGTAGGGCCCTGAAGATGATCTCAATAAAGATCGAAACGTTGGCACGATAAAGAAAATGTTTGTCTGAAACCTACATCACGCCAGACCGCATCTCACGATTTCTGAATAAATAAGTTTTGTGAAAATTGCAACAGGCCGCGGAACTAGTCTGTAAAAGTTTTCAAGTTATTAAGGTTTTTATGACAGTTTCATCAATAAAGACTGCAAGAATTTAACGCTCTCTAAAATAAATTAAGCTGATATTTCACTCGGGCGACAAAGATCAAAATATGTAAACAAATCCCCTTTCTAAAACGTTACTTAACAGCAAAATACAAACAATTAAGCTATGTTTGGGTTTGTATAAACTTATTAAGCCTTATTAATCCTTATTATTAAACTTATTAGCCCAGACAAATCCGAAAAACATCCAACAATAAAAATAATCAAGGATTAAGCTATAATTTAGCCCGATTTCTAACAATCATATCTAAGATAACAGTTGTCTGATTATTTGGTTTTTATAAAGTCAATAAATATATTTCGAATAGGGAGAATAGAGGTCAAAATTCTCTGAGTAATGCGTACTGAAATGAAGAACGAGAATTGCAATTGACTGACTGCGGGTAGTTAGCACGAACAATATGAATTTATGTTTGCTTTAACAAAAATAATTCAATTC